GGCTGCTCCACAGCCTGACCTGCCTGCCCTGCCTGGCGGGAACAGCCGCGCACTGAGCCCTCTGGAGATGAGGAATCCCCTCGTGGCGCTGGGAGGACTAACGGAGGGCGAGCGTTGAGGTTGTTGGTGAAGGAGCTCTGCCCAGGCCTTGCGCGTAGCAGTAGGAAAGGAGAGGTCCCCCCCAAATTCCCCAGGGTACATGAGAAAGGAGAAAAGGGAACGGGGGTGTTGAGAGAGGCGAGAAACCTTGCGGACCGAGCTGTGGGGAGGCCGGGGTGAGGAGCTCTCCAAAGCAAACATCCCGGCAGAGCATCCTGGAAACGGAGATTCCTCGCCATTCCCAGCTCTTTGCAACAAGGATTTGGGGTTGGGTTTTGGCTTTGAAACATCAGTTAGCAACGCAGTGTGAGACGTTTAGAATTAACCTAAACCCAGCCGCCGCAACTAGCTAGTTCACCTTAACTAACGGGAAACCCGCTGTGAGTTGACAAGTGCGGTGAAAGGTGATGCTTCATCGGATGCTCATCTTCCTGTGGCACCTGCAGTCTGGTCATCGTAGCGATTAAAATCACGTTCTTCTGAAACACTGAAGATGTGCAGTCTCAGAGTTCAGTGAGTGAGAGGTAGAATCTGACCCCTGACAGTTCTAATTCCCTTTTGTCATGCACATCACAATGCACTAACCTTTTGAAGGCAGTTGGGATTAATTGTTAAGTTTTAACCAGATGAAATCTTAATTACAGCTCCTGCCTATGAATCTTAATGGAAAATAGTAAATAAATTTGCCTTTTGCTTTGGTATAAAATACTTGGAGTCTTGTATTTCAAAATACAGATCTCTAATATTGTATTTTCCCTGATTTTATTTAATGTTTTAAACAACTTAAAATTTTTTTGATAGAAGGCACTTGTTTGTTACACGTGTTACTTTTTTATTAAATTAAATAAGACTATATATTTACAGCTTAACACAAGAATATCCTACCACTGTTGAAAAGTTCTAGGAATTTAGAAAGCTCTAGGTAAAACTTCAGAAGGTTGTTTTCCCATGCTGTTTTATGTTTTCTTTCAATATTTTAAGTCCATTGGCTCCAGTTCATTAAAAACTAAACTTTTAACATTCAAGTTCAGTAATATACTTCACCCTTGCTCAGAGACCCTTTCTGCAAACATTTCATGGACCCCAAGGTAAGCAGAGAGGGAGGCAAGATTGGACTTACCTGGTGTCATGATGTGGACTTCTCAACTGCAATCATGTATTGATTTAGAAGATTAGGTCTGTTACTGGAAATTGGAGTACAGCTGCAGACAGGCTGACCTAGTACAGTAGGAATCAGTGTCGTAGTGAATTTAGTGGTTTCTTAAAAGCTCTTCTACGTACAGCTGTTCTCCCTCAGGACTGAAGCTAGTGACGAAGCATAGGAGTAAGAAAAATCCTAAGGAAGATATTACTGTGTCTTCAATTCCATTATTAAAAAATAAATAAATAAAATTGTTTCTTCTTAAAAGCTGGAAGTTTTCAAGTTAGGGTGTTGTTACAATGAAGATGTCACTAAAATCCTTTTAGACTCTGCATTCCATACAGCTTGTTTTCTGGCAAGAAATGAGATGAACAGAAGCAAA